GAATCCTGTCATAATTATTCTAATTAATAAAAATAAAAAGAGATTAAAATCATTGCAACTGGAAGTAATGTAACTTTGTTGTGGTATATTTAAATTTGCTCCCATCACTGAATGAATAAGTATGATGAATATTAGCCTTAGTACATTTTCAATATTTATACCTGAATTTTGGCAAATGTACTGTAAAGAAAAGAATCAAACTTCTTGAACAATAATATACTATATATAATAGTATTGTATCAAATACTTGTAAGATTATATTACAAAATATAAAATTCTCAACTACCCCCAAGTATGAATATTTACTAGCCTGATAATCCAGGTGGATAACTCCATAATTAACATTCACTGATAATTAACACATCAATAAATAAAGTTATATTTTAGTTGTTATAGTAAGACACATGTTTGATTTCAGGACAATGGGCAAAATATTCCTGCAAGTATTTCCAGTGGACAGCTGCAGTTTTAACTCAGCTGGTAACAATCTTTGTACAAAAGTTTTAATAAGTAGGATAGGCCAACTGTTGGTAAAATGTTTTGTTTTGTTCTCTAAAATAAAAGGAATCTAATAAGGCACACTTCCGCTCAAAGCTTTCAAAGATGTATATGAAATCAATCTGTTCATATTCTAGAATTTTAAGGTGTGCTGAAAATATTTTATTGAATACATGCAGATATTTTATGTATTATAATAAAAATACTATAAATCATTTAAATTATGTTTGTCAAGAGAGAGTCAGCTCATTAGTAAAAAATAAAATTTTATCCTCAATTTTTATTTTTATATTTTTATTGCATTTGTTTATTTAATGTGTGTGCTTACAGGTGTTTGTTTATGTAGATATGTGGATAAATACCTGCAGTAGGTATGAAGGTCAGAGAACAGCTTGTCTGGTTAGTGATCTCCTTCCACAATGTGGGTTCTAGAGATTGAACTCAAGTTCTCAGCATTAGCAGCTGGAATCTTTACCATCTTGCCAGTCCCTGATCTCAATTCTCAGTTTTTAAGTATTAATACAATTTCCAGCTTGTCTGGTTAGTAATCTCCTTCCACAATGTGGGTTCTAGAGATTGAACTCAAGTTGTCAGCATTAGCAGCTGGAATCTTTACCGTCTTGCCAGTCCCTGATCTCAATTCTCAGTTTTTAAATATTAATACAATTTCTGTACATTTACAAAATTAATTATTAAAATGCAAAGCAAAAAATCTAGACAGAAACTACTCAACCTAAATAATAAAACCAATGAAAAGAATCTCAAGGAAAATTTTAATCTAACATATAAGTATATATAAACATAACAAATAACAATTTTTAACATTATAGGTGGCTAGTAATATCTGCCAGGCATTATTCTGAGTATCTAGTTACATTTCCTTTGTTTGACTTTTTCATCAATATGTAAAAATATGACAATCTTATTAAATGACACACAATGGAAGATTAAATGATTTATAATGTTAACATAATAACTATTTGAGTTTAGTTACATTTTCTTTGACTTTTTCAATATGTAAAAATATGAGACTGTTATTAAATGCCTCACAATAGAAGATTAAATAATTTATAATGATTAATAACAATTTTTAAGGAGTTACTAAATACTTATATGAAACATGAAAAAGAGTAATATGCAGGGCTGGAAAGATAGCTCAGTGGTTAAAAGCACTGGCTGCTCTTGCAGAGGACCTGGTTTCAGTTCCCAGTACCCACATGGAAGCTAACAATGGCCCCTAACTCCACTTCCAGGAATCCAACACCCACAACTGACCTTTATGGGCATGGTACAACACGAGTGCACTTTCATACATACAGGCTGTCCCAGTTTGTTCTTCATTGCCGTGACAAAATACTCTGACCAATACCAACTTGGGGAGGAAAGGTTTTATTCAGCTTACATCTCCCAGGTCACAGTTCATCAGGGATCCCAAGGTAGGAACTCAGGGCAGGAACCTGGAGCACAGGCCATGAAGGTACGCTGCTTACTGGCTTGCTCCCCTGGCCTCTGTTCAGCCTGCTTTCTTATGCAACACAGGCCCGCATGCCCAGGGGTGGCACCACCCATAGTGGGCTAGGCCCTCCCATATCACTCATCAAGAAGATGCCTCTCAGACATGGCCACAGGCCAGTCCAATAGAGGAAATTCCTCAATTAAAGATCCCTCAACCCAGGTGTGTCAAGTTGACACTAAAGCTATCCAGCACAATTGACCCTTTGTCAACTTGACACACAAACACATCACTATTAAACTATTAATCGAGGAAATTCCTCGATTAAGGCTCCCTCAACCCAGGTGTGTCAAGTTGACACTAAAGCTATCCAGCACAATTGACCC